ATTATATATTATATATATATAAGATATATTATGGTAAGGATATACAAACATTAAGAATGTTAATTTATTGGTTGAAAAAATAAGATAATATTAAGTGTTGGAATAAATAAATTCATTTGTTTGAAAAAAAAAAAAAAGAATAAACATCATTGACTTTCGTTGAACATAGTATTGTATTAGTAATTGAAAATTTTGTGTTCTCTTTGATAATTAATACATGCAAAATGTTAGTTTAATATTAAATAATAATTTAAAGAAATACAAAATGTAATTAAACTAATCAAATATATAAGATTCCTAATAATAATAAATTTTAATTAAATAAATTATATTATTCTTTTATTAATATTAAATCAATATATATTAGAAAATTTTGTTTACCTAAAAATTCTAATTTTTATTAATATTAAATCAAATATATATTAGAAATTGTAACCTAAAAATTCTAATTAGGAATGAAAATCCTATTGTATAAGTTTTGATTGAATCCAATATTAAATCAATTATATTTATAATTTCATTGCAAAAGGACTCAAATATTTTATATTAAAAATCTAAAAAAAATTACATTTATAAGTTGTAAATTGAAATTCTTTTCTTTTCCTCATATTTTCTTTTGTTTGCTTTGTTAATATTGTTAGTTACTTTTTATCTTATCATTCTCTTGATTGTATTAGTTATTTTATCCTTAATCTGCTAAGTAAATTGCTTGATCAATTTTCAATTAGTATAAATTTATTAATTTTTTTTTAAAAATTATTTAAATCATGATTGTAATTTTTTTAACATTTAAAGCTTCTTCTTTTTTTAAGTTGTTGCATATTTTTAGTTTAAAAATTTATTATACTTTGATGCTAATATTACATCTATTATTATGATAATAAATGATAAATATTTAAATTATAACTCAATTGAAAATTTAATCTATCAAATAACTATATTTTCTTTTGCTATTATCAATGATTTTTTCGCTTTTATTATCAATAATTTGTTGAAGACTCTCTACTATCAAAAGTTTCTTTGCTATTGCTATATCGAAAACTTATCACTTTATTATTATTAATGACTGAGATACTAATTTTAACTTTTGATTTTTTTTTGGTATACTATCAAAAAAATTTTGAATTTGATTACCAATAATTTATATATGTATTTACTTTTATATATGGTGAGATCTTGGATCAAATAGTTATTTATTTTCAACTTTGCAACTATTCAATTTTGTCAAAAAATCTATTGTAAAAAAAATTATTAAAAATTTTCATCAAATACTAGATAGGTATGAGAGTGGTTTGCACCTTTTTTTTATACATGTAATAATTATAATTAAAAAAAATTTAAATTTTATATTATTTTTATAAAAATTATTAAAAATATATATATATAAATAAATTATAAATAACCATTCTAATGAATATGTTCAACGAGTAACAACGTTCATCGCACGTTTTTGAATACTAATCTATTTTAAAAACTCACAAAATAAATCATCTAAATTTATTTTTTAAAAGAAAATTAAAATGCAGTGCACTGCGCGAGCTTTACCTAGTCAGTTATTATTATGATATTCTGTATGGTAAACCCATGGATCCAATTAAGATAAATCTAATTCTACGTTATAATTCAAATTGCTTTAAACCTAAATTCATTAAACGTATTATAAAATCAACTTAAATGATTTTTTTAGTAAGTATCAAGTAATTCACAAATAATTTCATTCATTTATAATTCCCTTAGTGATTAATGTTTAAAATGTGACTGCTATTCTATTGTACGTATTTGTTTGTTTTCATTACCATTCTTATCATAATATCTCTTTTTATTTGTTTTTTTTTTCTCCAAAAGATATATACATTAGTGAATTTTATGATTAAAAATTAGAAGTAGCGGAGAAAAGTACATTAGACCAATAGTGTAACGACTGATAAGAATACTATTGTAAAGAAGATAAAGGACAGCCATCTCGTGTCCTATGGTTAGAGACGACAGAGATGATGAAAATATGTAGTATACTATTTTTTTTTTTTTTTTTTTTTTTTTATAATTAGAAAATAAGTCAATAGAAAGTCAATAAGTCATGGAGCTTTTGCACGCGTTAATTTGGAAGACAAACAAAACAGAATTTGCATCCACGGTGAAAAATTGCAAGCACAAAAACGACAAGAAAAATAAAACTCTTTGGAAACGTTTCTTGATCAAGATCCTGGTTCCTGATCGAAGTCACCGTTTACTTTGAAATTTATTTTTGTGGACTGTCTCGTTAACTAGGAAATTAGAAGAAAAAAAAATTGGGTACCTTTTTATTAAATAATATGAAAAAGAATGAAAAAAAAAAACCATATACACACTAATCCTATTATTTGTAATCTTTTCTAGTACAATGTTGATGCTACTGATGAAAAATTGCAAGAGCAGATTATGAAACATTATTTCTTCTAATGTTTGACGAACGCTAGTAAAATAATTTATAACTATTAAAACAAATAATATCTATTAAAACAAATTTTGCTGACATCCTATAAAAAATTTATAGAATTGAAAATGGAGAAGGACGACAAGTATGAAAAAGAAAAATTAAAAGAGTAGATAATAATTTATAAGCCTCTGATTCTTATTATCTTTTTTTGAATATTAAGAGAGAAAATTTGAATTTAAACTTATTGACAGAGTATACATGTACTTACCAAATTACGGATGTGTTGGTGTGAAATTGAATTGAGCCTCCTACTTCTTTCATTGCATGTATATGATTGGGAATCATATAGGAGAAATTGCTTCTTTCTTTCTTTGTTGCTTTCTTTGCTTTAAAATTAGTTCTCCCGACAAATAACAGACAGCTTGTCACTTTGTTCAATTCAAAATAATTGTTAGTCTATAGCATGAATTTCACAGAAATGTGTATAGAACATCACAGTCACTTGCAAATTGCTTACCAACATGTTCCATCATGTTTTCTTTCAATACTCTTTCCGCCTCTAAAAAACAGAAACAATTTATATATTTTCACACAGATTAAGAAATAACAATTATTATAGTTAAAATGAGAAACAATTTATATATTTTCACACAGATTAAGAAATAACAATTATTATAGTTAAAATGACAATTTTATTCATATAACTTTTTTATTATGCTCATCTTAAATAATAGATGAGTAATTATTATATTGAAATAATTAGTACGAATTAATGAAGGTTATTAAAAATAAGATAAAATTTGAAAATGATATAATAGACAATTTAAGGATTAACTATAATGCAAAAAATGAAAGTGAATTATATTTTAAAACAAACCAAAAAAGAAAGATGAACTATTTTTTTTGGGACGGAGGTTGTATTTGCTTGCATTGCATGCCAAATTGTATGACATTAATATTGATTCTTTAATTTGAATTAGAGGAGGATTTTTTTTTTCCCTTGAATAATTGCTAGTTAGATATAGGGATTGATAGTTGTCTCCAATTAATAAAATAACGCTAAGAGATGATGTGCTCAAAATTTATATCAAAGGGACACAAATATAAGCATTATTTAAGAAAAAAATACAAAACAAAAAAGAAACAATACTAAAAAGGCATGGCCATAGCAAAGCGGTGATCACTGGTAGTTGCCTTAAAGAAGACAAAAGAAGGCTGGGATATAGTACTGGCTGTCAAAAACATATATAGTCTCAATGCCCACAAGGATGTATGGAGTAAACAATCTTTTCAGTGTTTATAAGGTTGCTAGGAGCAAATATATATTCCGTTCAAATTCTTTATACCATATAAACATTTTCATTAATTTAAAAAAATTATTACTTCTGGTGTATAATTCACTATATGTATTATTTCAAGTCATTTGGTTTTTAATAAATAAGAAAGAAAGTATGTGCAATTGTCTCACATTTTATAAAGAGTATATGGGGCGAAAATAAAGAAAATGAGAAGTTTAGAGTTTAAATTCTTTTCACTATAAAAATTATAATCGATTGGGTGAAGAAATGCACACGTAATATTACCTAATGTACATGCAATTAAAGGAGAGGAATTCATTTATCACGTTTTTCAGTAATAATTATTCATTTTGACATGGAGATAATTTTTAAAGTTAAAGACTTGGATGTATATAGTGCAGACAAACGGCTGTTTCCCATTTAAAGAAAAGATCAACGATCATTAGCTTTTTTTCTCTTTGGATTTCACAATTTATAAGAAATTTTTGGCCACTACAAAATTTCCATTGGGTTGTGGCTCATTTGGGTTGTGTGTGGGATATGTTGGACAAATGAAAGTTTTGTTCTTGTCTGGGCAAGCTCTCAACGTTCCCAAAATACAAAATAAGTCGCAGTACAGCAATTATTTGCATATCAATATATAATTTCAGTATCCTGTTTCGAAGTATTTTCATATATCAAACTAAGTTTTGGGTCGGTGCTTTTGTGTGGGACTGGTTCTAGGAATCAAACTTAAGTTCAAGAGTTATCCAAATTCGTGTGAGACACAGTTTGATTTTCGAAAAACGCAATTTATTGGAAACTAAAAAAAAATCTAATTTTTATGCTCTATAATCCCAAGGAATGACATGTCCTGATTATACCAAAAAAAAAAGGAAGACATAGAAAAAAAAAGGAAGACATAGAAAATATCTAAATTAATCAATTTTCTCTCTCAAATTCTTCACCATGGATATAAAACCCAAATTAAACCAGTTATATATATAATTTTCAAGATTAATCAAGATCATAATATGATAAAATCTATATAAATTATTGCACAGACATAATAGGATTTGAATTCTTGAATTCAACTTCCTTAGCAGTAATAAACAGGATGTTGCACATTCTCTTGAATATTACTAGAAGAATTCTTATGTGTTCAAATGTTTTCATTACTAATTATTAAGTAATGCAACCCAGATACACCTGAAATATATTTTAATACATTAATCAAAATTAATACATTAATCAAAAAGATTTTGGATTATACTACTTTCTATATAGAGCATCTCCAGAAGTAGAAGTTCAAATTTCTATATATTTGCCATCATAATCCCAATAAGACAAGTGCTCCCAATCCCATATTGGTTCATTATCTATAGGCATTACTACCATATTATTACTACTCTCAGAGTTGCCATATTCTTGTAGGAGTGAGCTCTCATGTGTGCTTCTTCCCTCCCCCATTAATGGAGGATTTTGATGAGTTATTGTCAAATTGCCCCCAACTTCTGCAACCCTCGGCTGGCTTATCTCCAACCCAACTGGCCTTCTATCAAATGCTCGCCGGTATTTAGAAGTGTTGTACACACGACACAAACTGTATTCATGCCTTAGCTGTGAAAAATATATATAGAGACCAAAGAAATTATTATTATATTTTTTTTGTTTTAATTGAGTTCTAGCTTGGGTTCCAACTCAGAGGATTTACGAACCATAAGGATATTCCAGGTTAATATGTTAAGTCAAAATTCATTAGTCTTATTATCAACTATTCATGTGTATTCAAGTTAAGTTGTGAAGAATTAGACCTAATTTATTTATTTATTATTATTATTTTATCAATTTGAGAGAGTATTACCGTTTTTTATTTTCATACATCTAAAAGTACGACTACCACTCTTTCATTAAGGGAAAAAGCTTTCATTTCTTGATAGATTTATAAGAATTGAGCTTGAAGCTAGGGTTTTCAAACTAAAAAGAAATACAGAATGAACCAGAATAAATTGAGAATATATACACAACTATATCTATAATTCTCCCAAAAACATAAGGAAAATGTAAATTTTTTTATATTTTTGGAAAAAATTATCTCCACTGTTTTTGTCTAAAAACTTGTTTTATAAAATATTTCTCTATAGATTCTGTATATAAGAATTGAGGTTGAAAATTTAAATAGGATTTTCAAACCATAAGAAGAACAGAAATTAATCTTTTCTTACTGCAACAAACAAACTAAATAGAATAGTAATTGGATACATAAAGCTAAAACCTACTGGTAGATTCATAAGTTTATAACAACTAATTTTTTTTTTATTTGGTCAAATCAAATTTCAATTTCCGAGCTTAATTGCAGGTAAAATCATGAAAATACCCTAATAATATGAGAGAGAGAGAGAGAGAGAGAGAGAGAGAACTTGTACCACTGGATTAGCATTAGTGCTTGACGAGGAAGCTTCTGATCTTTGAATGGCTTTGTATTCGTTCATTTTCCATTCCATTTTCCATTCTGTTTTTGACACTTTGGATCTCTACCTTGGTAGCACACGCATTGTATCTTTTCATCAATGGCATCTGATTTTTGGAATGAAATAAACATAACAGGTGAGCCTGTAGACTTGTCCAGTATCAGTACTGAGGTCTTCCTCCGCAGGATTCCCTTTCTTGTATTGCGTTGAAAAAAAACCACTGTTCTGGGTCTTTATAACATAAGTCTCCAGATAATTCTGAAACAAATAGAAAAAAATAATAATTAATCAAGCAGGACAGTGAAAAATAAAGCTTAGATTTCGGTGCTGATCTCATTCAAGGGAAACTTTCGGCTAAAAAGGAAACTAATTGAATATAATTCAACAAAAAAAATCAAACTCAGTTATGCTTTCATAATAAAATGCTGCAATATATATATATTTGACAAAAAAAAAGGCTGAAAAATATTAGAAATGAAGAAGATTTAAATTTCATGTAAGTTTTACGCGGAAGATCCCATGGATCGAAGTCATAGATATCAAGAACAGGAATCACGCGATCCATGACCAGGTTAAGGTCTTCTCTCTTTCCTTCAAGCTTGTTCAGAAGATAGAAGGTGATAAGCTCTTCTTCTGTCGGATAAAAACGAAACTCAGGTGGTAAATCCTCCATAGATTTTCTCCTTATTGATAATTTGAACTCTTCTCTCTAAATTTGTTTTTGAGATTCAGATATGGAAATTTAATCAATATATATATATATAAAAGCTAAACCCCAAGTCACAGTTAATTACTAAAGATTTATTAGTGCATCTAGATAAATATATATATAGAGAGACCATGGTTCATCATAAACCATAGTATGTAAATGGTACTTATTTTATTGGTGGGATCCACTTGTATTTTTATTAAATACACTAATATGTAGTAAGACGTTAGACATTAGACATTAGACATGTACTCTTAAATACACGAGATTCATTTAGAAATATTCAAGATTATTTTCACATAATATGAGTAAGAGCACAATACATAATCCGTTTTTAATTTAGAAGATGTTGCCAGGAAACTTCATGTTATTAGTTTTCCTAAGTGCATACTTTTTTTAATTCCTCTAATTCATATTCGTAAAAGGATGGTTTATGATTAAAGAAAAGAAAAAGATTAATTTCATTGGATGGTCATAAACTATATAAATAGACAGTTAATAGAGTAATAACTTCCATTTATAATTTCAAAGTATCCAACATTATATTTTTATTAGAGTAAACTGTCTTTTGATGCAATTGAATTTTCATACTGGCCAAATGCTACGTATTTAATATATGACTTTTTTTTTTAAATGAAAATTCTTTTAGCATATTAATCTTTTATCTATAGAAAAAGTAGTAACTTAAGACGTGTGAGAGCATTATCCTAGAAGGATTATTTCGCAATTACGTCAAAGAGATTAAAGACTGTGCAAAACCCTTCCTAGGATTTAACAAGTTCTTCTGAAATAGATTGTTCAGGTAAATAGAACTGACGATTTTAAGAATACTACTCCGCAAAGAATATCAAAAAAATATTTTTCAGAACGAAAAACACTTCCATCAAAAAAAACTCACCAACATTCACAATCAAGCAGAAAGTCAAGCCAATGTTGCACAAATCAAGCGTAAATCAAGCGAATGTGATATTAGAAAAATATATGGTCAAAAGCTAAAATCAAAAATAAGATGATAGTTTAAAAAAATATTTGTTAAATATTTTCGAAAATAAAATGAAATAAAACATAGCTTGAATCGGGCCTCACAAACATATCCACGCACAGGGTGCAAATCCACTAGTTAGCACTAGGATTGGACTTTTTGAACCAAATGTGCGCATAATCCAACCCCTCACTACACCTTTTACTAGCCCAATATCAAACACCTATTAATAAACTACTTTAAAGACTCCGACATAAGTGATGTGAGATTTTTTGAAATGCACTTCACTTCACTTACAACAAACCCCCACATATTTCAAAAGATTTTATAGAAAAGATTTTATAGAAAATTTCTTTTGCTGGGTTTACATGCAAAGGGTACAAATGCTTTCGAATTTGATGTCTTTAGGACTGTGAACCAGATCTAGACTGATATGTCATTACATATAAAGTGTATGTGAAGCAAGCTTTATGAACCAAAACTCTTTGTTGTCTGTTAGAGGCCTTACCAATCTCATTGTAACCTTTATAATTCTCGTTGTTAACGCTGTTTTGCGCTAATTGGTCATGCCCACGGCTGGTTATTCATAAGTGCTTTAGAGATTATGCAACAATCTTATAGGAGTGGCCTCTCCACACTTACATAGGTGATTCCATCAAGAGTATGCATCATCTATACACCATCCATAAGGAATATGTGAATTCTTAAGAGTTTTTAGCTCAACCTCACATTGCTCAACCTCACATTTAATGCAGCCTAGCACAACTCACATCATAGGAATAGACAAAATTAATTAGTGCTAGCAAAATTAATGAGTGCCTTGTTACTACCCATATGAACCTTATTCATGGGATCTCCAATGACAAAGGTTGGGTTACCATCACTATTAATTTCTAAACTGGCTTAAGTCCCATCACCCTCGATGTTTCATATATTAGTTTTCTCGCTAATGGTTTAGTTAGAGAACCGACCAAATTCATTTTTGACTTTACGTAATCGATCGATATGACTCTATAGTTTAACAATTGTTTAACCACATCATGTCTCAATCGGATGTTTCTATTTTTACCATTGAAAGTTTTATTCTTTGTAATGGCTATTGCCGTTTAGCAATCATAATGCATGGACACAGAAGGTGTTGGTTTTATTCCTATTGAAATATTGGGTAAGAAATTTCTTAGCCACTCAGCCTTATTGCCAACTAGTTCTAGAGCTATAAACTCTGACGCCATAGTTGATTTAGCAAACATTGGTTGCCTGACTGATATCCAGGTGACAGCACCACCACTGAGGATGAAAATGTAACCACTAGTGGATTTTGTCTCATCTGAATCTGAAATCCACTTAACATCACTTTATCCTTCTAATACAGCGGGAAATCTATTACACATAATACCATAGTTCATGGTACCTCTCAAATATTTTATTTATTCTACTTAATGTAGACCAATGCTCGTGGTTAGGATTATGTGTATACCGAATCAATCTGCACACAACATAAGCAATATATGGTCTAGAAAAATTCATTAAATGCATCAGACTTCCAATGGTCTGTGCATATTCAGATTGAGCAATAGGATCACCTCTATTTTTCTTTAATTGAGTATTAGCATCATAAGGAGTACTCACAGGTGTGACTTCAAAGTGTCCAAATTTCTTAAGAAGTTTCTCAACATAGTCTTCTTGTGCTAGAATTATACTATCACCTTTTCTTATGATTTTAACACCCAAAATTACATTTGCTTCGCCCATGTCTTTCATATCAAATTTAGAAGTAAGAAAATATTTGGTTTCACATACTACATCATAACTAGTACCAAAAATGAGAATGTCATCCACACGTAAGCAAATAATCACACATTCATTCCCAACAAGTTTTGTATACACACATTTATCAACTTCATTTGAAGTGAAATCATTACTCATTAAAACTTGATCAAATCATTTGAAGTGAATCATTACTCATTAAAAACCTTGATCAATTTTCTCATGCCACTGTTTAGGTGCTTGTGTTTAAACATATAAGTTTACAAACTTTATTCTTTTGATCAGGAACAACACAACCCTCGGGTTGAACAATACAGATCTCTTCTTCTAAATCACCATTTAAAAAGGTTGTTTTAACATCCATTTGATGAATAAAAAGTTTGTGGATAGAAGCCAAGGAAATTACAACTCGAATTGAAGCAATTCTAGTCACAGGAGCAAAACTATCAAAATAGTCAACATTGGGTTTTTGGTAACACCTTTAGCTACTAATCTAGCTTTGTACTTTTCAATAGAACCATCAAGTTTGCATTTCCGTTTGAAATCCCATTTACAGCCAATAGGTTTTGCTCCTGGAGGTAAATTTACTAAAATTCAAGTTTTATTTTTAGTAATAGAATTAATTTCAGTTTTAATGGCTTCTTTCTAAAATGAAGCATTAGAAGATGAAATAACATTATAAGTTAAAGGGTCATTTTCAACAAGATAATTATAAAAATCATTTCCAAATGAAATCTCTTTCCTTTGCCTTTTACTTCTTCTCAAATCTTCATTAAAATTTTCAGAAATAGGTTGTTCAGGTGCATGAGAAATATTATCAACTTTCAATGGAAAAATATCTTCAAAAAATTTCAATATTTTTAGTCTCAATTATAGTGTTGCAATTAAGCACATTACTCTTTAAAACAAGAAATCAGTTGACAGACTTTTTTGCAAATATACGAAATCGCGTACAAGTAATAAAGAGTGAGTAGAGTATCATCTCCCAAGGATTGCATACCAAGTACCAAAATTGTCCAAAATTGTGTTAACCTATTATTATTTAACCGACAATAAAGAGAATGTATTTGAAAGTAAAAGAATTAAAGTAAAACAATGAGAATGAGATCAAGCAAGGAATTGTTAAAAAAAAATCAAGATTTAAAGGTTATCAGAGATTTTGATTTTACTTAATTGTATCCAGTTTATCCTATTAGTTTGACAACCAATTTTAATTATTCAAGAAGCAGAAATAACCCTAAATCATTAATAAGCTCTCTCGATGTTTCATTAGCTATTTTAACTGAATTCAATTACCCATCTCTCAATGGCGCAACCAAGCATAGATTAAATCATTAAGTTGTGATTATTCAGGAATCCACAAATTAAGGCCTTTAATTTTATAAAAACCTCCCACGAGTCAAACCATTTAGCTCTTATATCAAGTTGTTATTCCCACGAAATTTATTAACTTGTTCGTATCAAAAACCTCTCTCTCGATAGTGATTAATGAAATAAATCAATCCAGGGGAGAAACTCTGCCTGGAAGCATTAAGATTAATAATAAATTTTACTAATAAAGAAATCAATATAATATTATAAATGTAACGTCCCATTTTTCCTATTGAATCGACGTCGTCCTGATTTCAGAGTCGAGTCGGGGCTGAATCCAAACAACCCGATTGATCTTAGAGTTAGAGTGGGCCTAGATGGGATGTAGATTGACATAGGAAAAGACGTTTGGACTTACTTGAAGGAAAAAAAGATCAAAGTATAAGAATTAGGATTGGTTGCAACTAAAGTTAAAGTTGAAGGTATGCAGTTGTCACCATTTTTCCACTTGGAGGTATTTGGTATTTTCAACATAAATCATTGATTATTCTAGTAGATACCCGTGAGTTCATTTCATTTTTCATTTTTCATCATTATCTTCATCTTTCTCCTCTACTTTTCCTCTTACTTTCCTTTTCTCATCACTTTTAATGGTAGTGAAGATTTTAATGGGATTTCAGACATTAATTCAAGCTTCTATTCTAATCCAAGAAGCCTAAACCTTCTTTGATTTCATATTGAATACATTTGGTGATATTTTTAGAAGTATTCATAAGATCTCTGTATTAGGAGAGGTGGAGCTCAAAGGTAGAAGAAAAAAGGCAAGCTAAAAGAAGAGCTTAAGCTTTTTTTGAGTGAAGGTGTGCTAATCTCTTTTTAGTTTAATTCATTTTCTTGCATGTGATAATTGTGTGGTAGTGTTGATATGAGCAAGATATGTTCTTTAATATTGAGTAGGGATGACTGAAAATGGTGAAAAGCATGAGATGACA